CCAGCATCCTGCCGCCTGTTTTGATCAAAGCCCTGTGGTTTGCTTTAGTGAAGCCACCTTCCCTCCCTGCCCCCCTCTCCCCGTGAGCCTGCGAGCCCTGAGGCGGACGTGGTGCTGCACGGCCCTCCGGCTCGGACGGCACAGGAGCAGGCTGGTCAGCACGGCCGTGTCCTGCCCCACAGGATGGCTCTGGATGGGCAGCTGGCCCCCGGGATCCAGGTCAGCACGGCCCGTGTCCTGCCGCACAGGATGGCTCTGGATGGGCAGCTGGCCCCCGGGATCCTGGAGCCTGCAAGTGCCACCTCAGGGCTTTAGCTGGAACCCTGAGGCAACGGCTCTTTCTCCTAGATATACTAGCGAGCCGGCATGTGAGCCTGGGGCCCCGGACGGGGGGGGGGGGGGGGGGTCATCCTCACCATCCTTTGCCTGAGAATGAAACCGACCTGGACAGTCGGCAGAGAGGCGATAAGTCCCGATGGCCTGGCCTGAGCCCCTGAATCCAGCATGTCTGGGGCTACCCTGCCCCTGACCTTCACCGCATTGCCAATACACCCTCTCTTCCTCTCACCTAAACGGAGAGTTCTGCCGATGGGGGTTCCCCAGGGAGCTGGGAAGGCTGTTCTAAGCGACCTTTCCGTAAAGCACTTCGCCACCCTTTCTTTTTGCTTCTGACCCCTGGGAATTGAATGTGCTAAACGCCTCCCCTTCCCTTTGGCATTCTCTGAGGAAAAGGCAAATGGAGTGGGAGGAGCACTCCTTGACAGGCACAAGGGAAGGCCTGTGTTATCTAAATAGCCACTCGGTTTGATAAGAAACTCATCAAAACCTCAGGGGAGACTGGGGAAGGGCAAAAGCCATGTATGCACGTGCGGGGCTGAGGGGCAGGAGGGGGAGCCTGAGTGGCCTCTCCCAGACCAGCCGGCCCCAGCAGCTCCGCTCAGCCAGGGCCTGGCCCGGTGACAGCTCTCCGAGGGCGGAGGAGCCTCCACACGGAGGGCCCTCAGTGGTCTTGCTTCTCGTGGCTCCTGACGGCTTCGGTGCCACTGCTCGCGGGACACGGGCTGCGTGGAAGTGGCGGGACGGTTGGAGAGCAGGCAGGGAGAGGAGGTGGACATTTTCCTACATAAAAATGGTTGTTCTATCTGTACAAGTTTGCTTGAACCTGTGTCCCTCTGAGCCAGGCCTGCCCCATGGCGATTCCTATTCCCATGAGCCCAGGGGGCATAGAGTTCGCTAGATTTGTTTAAGCCGGAGTGGCCCCGGCCCTGCACCTGACCCTGAGGGCCAGGCCGCCCCTGATGAAGTAGAGGAGTGTCCTGGGCTCCCACCAGCTCTCACCGACTCCGCCAGCCAGTCCACGCTGCCCAGCCTCCGCCCTCCCCTTGGCATGGATTTCTGGAGCAAAGTGGCTCAAGGGTGGACCTCCACGGAGTCTGGGGCAGTGGGGCGGGGGCTCACCCTCCACGCACACGAGGAAGGAGCCAAAGAAACCTCTCTTCTCAGGCCACAGACACAGAACTCCCCACTCCCACGGCCGCCATGGCTCCCACACAGCATGAGACTCGTTCGGCACCCGCTGTGTGGCCGCCCTCAGACGGGCAAAGAGGACAGACACGCATGCTTGGCTCTGCCCCAAGGAGCTCACAGGAAAATGAAGCAAACGGGAAGATGCCACCCACACGGTCACTGCAGCCAACAGGTAATTCCGTGTCAAGCCCAGTTGCCAGATTGTCCACCCGCCTCCCTCCCACCGCCCCTGTGCTCTGCCGTGTGGTCTGTCCACTGTCCACCTGTCGCCCCAGCCCCACCCACCCTCCCACTCCTTCCTCCACATGCAGATCTGGTTCCTTCCGCATCGCCCCGCTGCCACCCCAGCCCTGCAAAAGCCACCCTTCCTGGTGCGGGCACGCTGTTGGGGCTCTGAGCTTCCTGCCTGTGCACAGCCTCTCCTGTCCCCACACCTGCCCTGGGTACACCCTAGTCACAGACCCAGACTTGGAGTTACTTGGCCTCTGGTGCCCCAGGACTCACTCCCAGCTGCCCCCTGCCTCCCGCCCACTTTTCTGTGACTGATCTGAAATCTGGTGCCCAGGGATCAGAGCTATGCCGTGCCCTGAGCCAGCGTCCCCTTCCCCTTGTATTGTCTGCAACACCCCTGCCTGCTTCGCTCGCAATGGCAGCCACGAGGACTAGAAGCACATCCCTGAGCCCTGCCACCAGCACGTGTCAAGGCATGACTCCACCTGCACAAATGGGATTGCCCATTTGTGAGCGGGCCTGGGGGCTCGTCTCCTCGCTGTGAGCTGGAGGAGCCAGCGTTTCCCGCTCTCAGACGTGGGGTCGCAGCTCACATCCCACTCCCACGAGGCGTCCGGGTACAAGAAGTGCGGGCTCCTGCAGCTCCCGCACAGCTGCTGTCTGAACGTTGGCTGCCTCCTATTTCCCACTCAGGGCTGCTTATAGGAAGGAGCTTTGAAAAGGTGGAGACGCAGGGCCCGGCTCTGCCCTGAGCACAGCCCCACACCATGCCCCACGCACTCTGTGGAGTGGGAGAATAAGGGGACGGGCACTTCCTGCCTCATTTTGGTGGCTCTAGACTTGCAAGTTGCCCTAACAAAGCCGCTCCTCACCGTGCCCCTGCCCCTCGCCCTCACTCCCTTGGTCCAGCTTTGCTTGGAGGGTGGCTTCGCCCCTACGGGCGCTGTAACAAGTACCAAGAGCGAGGTGGCTCAAAGCCACAGCAGTGCACTGCCTGGTGGCTGGAAGGTTACAAGTTCTAAGTCAAGGTGTCAGCAGGTCCCTGCTCCTCGGTGGCTGCAGGAGAGGTGCTATCCGCTGAGGTTTCCTGTGCTCTCCGGCCGTCCTGGCCCGGAAAGGCCTCCCTCCAGTCGCAGGCGGCCTTCCCCGTGTGTCTCCCCGGCACCTTGCTGCAGGTCTGTCTGCACCTAAATCCCCCCTTTTATGAGGACCCCAGGCACTGAGTCAGGGCCCCCCTGGTGACCACATTTTGCCTAGATGAGCTCTTATTTCCAGATAAGCTCACACGCTGCCGTACTGGAGGTTAAACTTCAACATACCTTTTGGGGGGGACACAATTCAGCCCAAACAGAACCTCTCCCTGGCAAGCCCCGCCCACCGTCCAAATGGCCTCTGCAGTGTCGCAGGGTCTGTCCCACCACCACTGGTTCCACGTGCCTCGGGGCCCACACGTTCCGGTGAGACGCCCAGGACACGTGGTGCCGGCCGGTCACCCAGATGCCAGTCTCCATGCCCTGGCCAGACTCCAGGCCGAGTGTCTGCTGCTGGTTAGTGAGGGTACGGGGAGATCACGGGACAAACTGCTGAATGAACCCCGAGCCTTCCGGGCAGCGTCCACACTGCCCGGCGTATACCGATCCCAAGGCCTCGAGGGAAGCGCGCAGACACCCCGCAAAGGGTTTCACGGCGTGTGTGGAATCTGCGTAAGCTCCTCCTTCGATGCACTTGACAAGGAAGAGAGGTTAGCGGCAGCCGCATGAGTTGGCTGGTGGCCTTACACGCTTCAAAGACACTCGACTCCTCCAGTGAGCTGGCGTCCTCATAGGCTTACCCACGGTCTACCAGCGTCATGACATCAACAAAACGTCAACGGTGCTGGGCCCGCTCTGCTCTCTGCCTGTTCCGTGTTTAACCCTGGAGCCCAAAAGGGACACCGTCACCGTGTTTTGTCACCGTCCAAGCCAATCGTTTCATCTCTCCCCTCTCGCTGCGCCCCATCCAGCTGCGCCCCATCCAGCTGCTCCCCCATCCAGCTGCTCCCCCATCCAGCTGTGCCCCATCCAGCTGCTCCCCCATCCAGCTGCTCCCCCATCCAGCTGCGCCCCCATACTGAGCCCACGAGACCCCTTCTCCACGGCCCTGCCACCTCTCACCATCCTCATGCAGCTGGGATCAGGCTGGTAAAACCAACGCCACGAGGCCAAGAAGGAGGAGTGAGAGATAGAAGCCTTTCCGGGGGTGGGGAGTCTGGCGCCAGAACAGGCCTGAAACAGTTCACCCCCAAACGGATAGTGCTGGTCCCCTGTCTTGTTCTGTTCAATGACTCACCCATTAGAAAGGCATCCCATTGTTTACTAACCAGGGTTGAACTCAAATTTGAAACCTGTTATTTTTCTCAATTATTCCTCTTCTTTCTGGCGCCTTCCTCCAGCTGCATACTCTGGGAATGTGTCTGGAAGAAGGCAGCTACACACACTGAATCGCCAGCAAATGTCCATCGTGTGACAACACTCCCTCCAGGGCACGCGTGCCGCGCTCCGGACCAGCACTCGGCACTCGCTCGTGGCCGCCTTTCACGTAGAGGAAGGCGTCCAAGGCCAAGAGTGCGAAACTCACCCCTTAGGAGGAGTTCGCTTGGTCATTCCCACGCCTGCTTTCCTGGGAGCTTGATGATGGCCTCCCCTCTCCGACCCAAAAGGCTCTTCATTCACCTTTTATAGAATAAACCTGGAGAATGTCCCAAACAAAGGCAATTCTTAGCTACAGTTCTTTCCTGCTAACGGAAATTCAAATGCCATTTGCTAAACACATGATATGTGTCAAACATTAAGGGGGACACAAAAGTGGGAAAACCCTTGTCCCTGCCCCCAGGGCCTGATAAACTGAGAGGAGAGATGGACACACGCCAATGGTGATGCACAGCAGATACCGCTGGAGGCTGCTCCAGGGCGGGTAGCGGGCAGCACCTGGGCTGCCAGACAGTCCCTGTATGACTTCCCTCCCCGGCGGAATGCTGGCTGCACCAGCTCACAGCTGGCTCCTCCCCCAGGCGCTGCCCTTAGCCAGGGAACCTGCCACCCCTCCCGGGGGACAGCCTCAGGCGATGACTGGCTGGTGTGGGGTTACCAGGGCCTCACCTTAATGAGGACGTGTCTGAGGGGCCATCCCAGGTATGAATCTCCCTGGACCAGCCAAGGCCTCTCCATCGTGGTTCACGTTCTTCCTCCACCCTTTCCTCTTCTCTAGCCTCTCACGGGTGCTGCCCCAGAACTATCCATGCCCCCACTGCCCATGCCCCCACTGTCGGTGCCCCCACTGTCCATGCCCCCTCTATCTATGCCATCACTGTCCATGCCCCCACTGTCCATGCCTCCATTGCCCATGACTCCACTGCCCATGCCCCCACTGTCGGTGCCCCCACTGTCCATGCCCCCTCTATCTATGCCATCACTGTCCATGCCCCCACTGTCCATGCCTCCATTGCCCATGACTCCACTGCCCATGCCCCCACTGTCGGTGCCCCCACTGTCCATGCCCCCTCTATCTATGCCATCACTGTCCATGCCCCCACTGTCCATGCCTCCATTGCCCATGACTCCACTGCCCATGCCCCCACTGTCGGTGCCCCCACTGTCCATGCCCCCTCTATCTATGCCATCACTGTCTATGCCATCACTGTCTATGCCATCACTGTCTATGCCCTCACTGTCCTTGCCCTCACTGTCCATGCCAGCCATGGGCAAACTACGGCCCGCAGGCCAGACCCGGCCCGCTCGGCTGTTCTATCCGGCCCGCGGAGCCGAAAGAGCGGAGGGTTCTCTTGCTCTCCCCTCCCCTCCTTCACCAGCAGCAGTGTTAACATGGCAACGGCGGGAAACACGGCCGCAGCTCCTTCTTCTGGTCCAGTTTAAGAACCCATTGTGGCCCTAGAGTCAAAAAGTTTGCCCACCCCTGGTCTATGCCCTCACTATCCTTACCCTCACTGTCCATGCCCTCACTGTCCATGCCCTCACTATCTATGCCCTCACTGTCCTTGCCCTCACTGTCCATGCCCCCACTGCCCATGCCCCCACTGTCCATGCCCCCATGCCTCATCC